TATGGGTCTAGATAATCTGTTTCATCCAGGTGACGAGGGAACTGCTGAGCAACCACACTCTCAACAACCTTCGCCGCAAAGCGAAGGTTGGAGACCGGGCGATAGTTGGCCAACTCGTCTGGGTCCAGGGAAGGCTTCTTGAGGAGGGGCCTCACCACGGCCTCTTTTAGGGCCGTCGGGAAGATACCCTCCTGCAAGGTCACATGATCCAAATTCAGATGTTTGGCAACCGATTCATATTTACGACGGTTGATGTATGCCGGGGTCATGTGAACCCCTATTGTGACCTTTTGACAAGCAAAGTCGATGGGGAAGCCAGATCCATTTAACAACCGTGCTACTAAACCCCTGCAGGGATTCACGTAACAACTGTGGTAAGGTGGTAGTAAAAATGGAGCCAAACTGACTCAACCGTCTCACTTAGCTACAGAAATGTTGAGCTCACTTGTCGTCATAAGTCGAGGACTATCTCTATGAAGTTTTCCAACTGCATCGAGTTTAAGTCTTTAAAATGAAAGCTAAAATAACAAGTCAAGGCTGCAAAACTCCAGACTTGGTATTTCCCACACTTGGCAACTCTGTGTGTGTGGACTTCAACTCCCAGAATTCTTAGAGAGATCTAATTTAAGAGCTGCATCTCCCTGAATATCACATATTGACTGGGTATAGATTTATTTTGGATTATAAAACCTACATCAGATCAATGTATATTCACGATTTGAGGCGTTCAAAGTACTCCAGTACAACACTCGGGAAGTTTGTGGCCTTCTCAGATGCTCTTAGGCTCATTTCCATCAATACCTATCAGCCTGGCCAAAGACTGATGATGGATCTTGGAGTTTCTCTGAAAACTTCTCCTCTTCTTCTGCTCGCCCCTTACCTGAGTTTGCTCTGGAGCAGATGATCCAGAATGTGGCCGGGAGACCATCTCAGTGGCTGCAAAAGCAGAAAGGGAGAGTTGAAAAAACTAAGAATGGTGATCTATGCCCAAGTCTTTAAAAAAAAAAAATGACTCCACTTCCATTTCTTTCCTTCTCTAGATTCCCAACAGCCCCAGGAGTTCAATCAGCTCCTGCAGAGGAATTGGACTAACGGCAATTCCCATGACAGAGAATCAGCATCTCCAGAAGAAAGAAGAGTGGAGAAATTGGTCCTTCAGAACTGAAGATATAAACCAGAGATGGGGAACGATGGCCCTTTTATGATTTGTGGACTTCAAGTCCCAGAATTCCTGAACCAGCATGGGGAATGATGGCCCAATAATAATAATAATAATAATAATAATAATAATAATAATAATAATAATAATAATAATAATAATAATAATAATAATAATAATAATAATAATAATAATAATAAAAAGTTGGAAGGGACCTTGGAGGTCATCTAATCCAACCCCCTGCTCAGGCAGGAAACCCTATACCATTTCGGACAGATGGCTGTCCAGTCTCTTCTTAAAAACTTCCAGTGTTGGAGCATTCACCACTTCTGGAGGCAGGTTGTTCCACTGGTTAATTGTTCTTACTATCAGGAAGTTTCTCCTTAGTTCTAGGTTGCTTCTCTCCTTGATTAGTTTCCATCCATTGCTTCTTGTCCTGCCTTCAGGCACTTTAGAAAATAGCTTCACTCCCTCTTCTTTGTGGCAGCCCCTGAGATATTGGAACCCACAAGTCATAAAAGGTCCTTTGTTCCCCCACCCCTGATATACAGGATGGCAAAGCTGAAGCAGGGAATGTCATAGTGACTCCCATAATGCCTTGAGTCCATCCCACAATAATTAAACCTCTTACCGAGCAAGTCCTTGTTCTCTTCCTTGACCTCCTGGTCCGAATGTCCTGTTTCAACCTCCAATGGAGGCCCAACAGCAGCGTTCATTTTTCCTCCTCCAGGTGACTTTGGTGGCACCTGGAATAACAGAGAGCCTTCCTTAGCATCAAAAGAAGGGGACCACATAAACATGCCGTTTCCTTCACGCCCCCAAATTTACTTACAAATGTAAGTAAACCCCACAGATGCCTATCATTGGGTTGCCCAGAGCTTTGGGGTGCAGAGAAAGCCCAAAATACAGGTAGTCGTTGACTTACAACAGAGCATTTAGTGACCGTTCAAAGTTACAATGGCACTGAAGAAAAGTGGCTTATGACCCATTTTCATACTTATGACCGTTGCAGCATTTCCCCCATGGTGACGTGATCGAAATTCAGACACTTGGCAACTGACTCATATTTATGACGGTTGCAGCGTCCCCGGGGTCATGTGATCCCCTTTTGCAGCCTTCTGACAAGCAAAGTCAACGGGGAAGCCGGATTCACTGAACACCCGTGTTACTAATTGAACGATTGCAAGGATTCACTTAACAACTCTGGCAAGGTAGGTCGTAAAATGAGGCAAAACTCACCCAGCAAATGTTTCACTTAGCAACATAAATTTTGGGCTCGGCGGTGGTCGTGACTTGAGGACTGCCTGTAGGCCTTTTCTCCAAGATCTTAAAAGGGCAATGTTTCCCTCCCAAGATTTTGACAACGCAGAGAAAAGCTACTACAGCTGCTTCCAGCGGTGGAGGGGCTGCGTTGGCACCCCAACTCCCCTTGAGGCACACTCTGGAGGCAGGAGACAGAGTGTGGAACATCTGCAGTGAGCCAGCTTCATGTCAATGTGTACTGTACTTAAAATGGCTTCCATTTCACCAAAATGGAGAGGCTGAAATATCGGCCAGATTACAGAATAACAGAATTGGAAGGGACCTTGGAGGTCTTCTAGTCCAACCCCCTGGTCAAGCAGGAGACACTATCCCAGGGGTAGGCCACCTTGGCTCTTTTATGACTCGTGGACTTCAACTCCCAGAATTCCTGAGCCAGCCATGCTGAGGGGAAAGGGAGAGGTTTCCAAGCTGAGCCACGCTGGCCCAGGAATTCTGGGAGTTGAAGTCCACGAGTCAGAAAAGAGCCAAGGTTGCCTACCCCCTGCCCTATACCATTTCAGACAAATGGCTGTCCCATTTTACGACCTTTCTCGCCACAGTTGTTAAGTGAATCATCGTGGTTGTTATGTTAGTAACACGGTTATTAAGGGAATCTGGCTTCCCCATGGTCAGGGGTAGGCAATCTCGGCTCTTTTATGACTCGTGGACTTCAACTCCCAGAATTCCTGAGCCAGCCATGCTGAGGGGAAAGGGAGAGGTTTCCAAGCTGAGCCATGCTGGCTCAGGAATTCTGGGAGTTGAAGTCCACGAGTCATAAAAGAGCCGAAGTGGCCTACCCCCTGCCCTATACCATTTCAGACAAATGGTTGTCCCATTTTACGACCTTTCTCGCCACAGTTGTTAAGTGAATCATCGCAGTTGTTACATTAGTAACACGGTTGTTAAGGGAATCTGGCTTCCCCATGGTCAGGGGTAGGCCACCTCGGCTCTTTGATGACTTGTGGACTTCAACTCCCAGAATTCCTGAGCCAGCCTGGCTCAGCTTGGAAACCTCTCCCTTTCCCCTCAGCATGGCTGGCTCAGGAATTCTGGGAATTGAAGTCCACGAGTCATAAAAAGAGCCAAGGTGGCCTACTCCTGCCCGTGGGCTTGGTTGGTCAGAAGATCACAAAAAAATGATCACATGACCTTAGGACACAGCCACCGTCATAAATATGAACCAATTGCCAAGCATCTGAATTTTGATCACGTGACCAACGGGGATGTTGCAACGGTCGTAAGTGTGAAAAGGGATCATCAATCACTTTTTTTGCAGTGCCGTTTGAACAGTCACTAAGTGAACTGTGGTAAGTCAGAGACTATCTACATTTTCCTGGTCATCCAAAGGCTGGAGGCTGGAGGTCAACCTGAACCCTCCTGTGGGTCCCTCCATGTAGTCACTGCCTCACTTTTTCTTCCCAGAAGCCTCTGGGCTCTTCCTGACTCCGCAGGAAGTCCTCGGCCAGGGCCACCGCTTGGACACAGCTTTCTGGTCCACCCTCCTTGACCCAGCTCTGCATCTCCTTGGGCAGGATGGCCAAAAACTGCTCCAGGATCACCATCTCTAGCAGCTGCTCCTTTGTACACTGCTTTGGCTTCAGCCACTGACTGCAGAGATCCCGGAGTCGGCCGCAAACCTTGCGAGGCCCTTCCAGTTCCCGGTAGCACAGATGCCTGAACCGCTTCCGCTGGATCTCAGAGCTTACGTCCTCTTGGTCCGGAAGATCTTCCTTGGCCTTCTCGTCCCCTTCTCCATCTTCACCTTCCAGACTCTGGTAGATCCCTTCGGTTTCTTCCCCGAGGCCCACACCCGAGGGGGCTTCCAGGCACTGCTTAGTTCCAGATTTGTCCTCCAAAGAGGTTGGTGCCAGCCGGCCGATTTCTCCTCTGCTTTGAAATTGTGAAGACGGTTCTCCTGAAGATCTGGGCTGCCAGGTTCTCCACCGCTCCTGCCCCTGGGCCCCCCACGGCTGGTCCAACCCTTCCTTGGGCTCTTGTTTAACCTGCAACAGTGTCACCCGTGCAGGGAACGCTTTGGGGGTTCTAGACTGTGCAAAAAGATTGCCTTTGGTTTTCCTTTGACGTTCCTCTTCCCCGTTGGGGGCTTCCATCATCTCCGTTTCAAGGCCTGCAGGTAAGTCGCGGGAGAAGGGGAAGCGCCACGGCTGGAGATCCACGGCTCCCATCACACGTCCTCCACTAGACATGGCTTCACTTCAGATTTGCTCGGGCATCTGAACCAGGTAGCCACTGGCTTCAATCGTTCTAGAAAAGCTATGGGGGAGGACGGTTCACACAGAAGCTCTTCTGCATTGGCAAGGCAGATGAGTGCCTGCAAGAGAGAAGACACGAGGTGGATGGATTAAACGCACCAGAAGTGTCCACGCACCCAGCAACCCTTTTGGATGTACTATTAGACCAGGTCAGGGGTAGGCAACCTTGGCTCTTTTATGACTTGTGGACTTCAACTCCCAGAATTCCTGAGCCAGCCATGCTGAGGGGAAAGGGAGAGGTTTCCAAGCTGAGCCATGCCGGCTCAGGAATTCTGGGAGTTGAAGTCCACGAGTCATAATAAGAGCCAAGGTGGCCTACCCCTGGTCCATAGTATCTTCAGCAGCCACGGATGGATTAACTGATTGATTTAATTCAGGGGTCTTCAAACTTGGCCCTTTTAGAACTTGTGGACTTCAACTCCCAGAATTCCTGAGCCAGCCATGCTGAGGGGAAAGGGAGAGGTTTCCAAGCTGAGCCATGCTGGCTCAGGAATTCTGGGAGTTGAAGTTCACGAGTCATGAAAGAGCCAAGGTGGCCTACCCCTGGACCAAGTCAAAGGCCTGTTCTAGCTCAGCATAAGCAGCCAAAAAAGGCAAAGCAAAGAAACTTTCACAAGAGACAGCAAGTAGTATGCCTTTTTGTGATTTTATAGAAAGATTATATTTTTAAAAGATGCAACTTGCCAGAGGACCCCACAAAACAATCTCAGGTAATAGATGCAAGGAGAATTTTTCAATTCTGCAAACAACCAGAACCTGTTTATTATGAGCTACAGGTAGACTTTGACCCACAATAGTTTGTTGAAGTTACAACGGCACTGAAAAAAGTGGCTTAGGACCATTCTTCACACTTATGTCCATTGCAGCATCCCCCCCCATGGTCACGTGATCAGGCAACTGATTCGTATTTATGACGGTCGCAGCGTCCCAGGGTCACCTGATCCCCTTTTGCGACTTCCTGACAAGCAAAGTCCATGGGGAAGCCAGATTCACTTAGCAACTATGCTACTGATTTAACAACTGCAGTGATTCACTTAACAACGGTGGCAAGAAAGGTCATACAATAGGGCAAAACATGCTACACAGCTGTTTCACTTAGCAACAGAAATTTGGGGCTCAATTGTGGTCGTAGGTGGAGGACTACCTGTATTGTTACATAGAATTTCCTCCATTTTTTTCCTCAAAAAAAAAAGGATATACATGAACAGGACATTAAAGAGGCAACAGTCTCTTACTGTTGTTGTTCCCACAGAAATCAGGTTCAGAGTAGGCATTATGCCTGAAAAGACTAATAAGCAGAAATTATATTTAATTTTACACATCACTACAGCAGCGAGAATAATTTTTGCACAATACTGGAAGAATGAAGGACTGCCATCGGAGGAAGAAATAATCAGGAAAATATTGGAATGTGCAGAGATGGACAGATTAATTATGAGGTTGAAAGATAAAGAAGATACAGACTACTATCAAATTTGGAATTTATTTTATTCTTGGTTAAAAAAAAGAATGAAGGATTAGGAATTGAACATGTATTAGCTTAGCAACTCCAGACAACTTGTTGATTGGAAAAATTAACATATGTTGATGAATTTTTTTTAATAAAAATAAATAAATAAATAAATAAATAAATCAGGTTCAGAGATAGACTGTCTCTGGAGGATCCACTAAATGTACAACCTCAACCTACGACCACAATTGAGCCCAAAATTTACGTTGCTAAGTGAAATAATCAAGGAGAGAAGCAACCTAGAACTAAGGAGAAACTTCCTGACAGTGAGAACAATTAACCAGTGGAACAACCTGCCTCCAGAAGCGGTGAATGCTCCAACACTGGAAGTTTTTAAAGAAGAGACTGGACAGCCATTTGTCTGAAATGGTATAGGGTTTCCTGCCTGAGCAGGGGGTTGGACTAGATGACCTCCAAGGTCCCTTCCAACTTTTATTATTATTATTATTATTATTATTATTATTATTATTATTATTATTATTATTATTATTATTATTATTATTATTATTATTATTATTATTATTATTATTATGCAGGCAGATTAACTCCATGGAAAGGTTTCATGCAGATTACTTTAATTCACCAGGCATTCTCAAAACATTAACTTACAGTTACTGTAGGGATTCTTCTGAAACACATATCATAATCTGGAGCCAACAGGCAGATAAAAGGAAATAGTTTCTTCCACGTTAAAAGAGCAAAAGGTCCTCGTGGCTGGAATACACAAAGACCCTGCTGGACTGCACGTAGGCAGAAATCCCGGTAGCCAATCAGAAGTCCCTCCCGGTGGCCAATCCAAACCCAGATACGACCAGGTAACTTAAAACTACATTACCCAAAAGGCTATCCCTTAAGGGGACGGTTCTTAATTCCTAAGATAGCTACTTACTCTGACCAGCACACTCCCCGCCTGGAATTATGAAATTTCCACTATTAACTATTAACTAAAATAAGCAAAAGCACAGCATCCAACAAGGCGACTGTGAGGTAAACACAAAATATGCATTGCTACATGATAGCCGTGTTCCAATATCTCAGGGGCTGCCACAAAGAAGAGGGAGTCAAGCTATTTTCCAAGGTGCCTGAAGGCAGGACAAGAAGCAACGGATGGAAACTGATCAAGGAGAGAAGCAACCTAGAACTAAGGAGAAACTTCCTGACAGTTAGAACAATTAATCAGTGGAACAACCTGCCTCCAGAAGCGGTGAACGCACCAACACTGGAAGTTTTTAAGAAGAAACTGGACAGCCATTTGTCCGAAATGGTATAGGGTTTCCTGCCTGAGCAGGGGGTTGGACTAGATGACCTCCAAGGTCCCTCCCAACTTTATCATCATCATCATTATTATTATGGATCATCGCACAGTCAGCCAGATGTTCAGACTGGATTTGGCATTTTGTCTACCTAACGAGTCCTTAACCAGGACCTGGGATAGGCAGATGTGGATGTTTGATGGTATTATTATTATTATTATTATTATTATTATTATTATTATTATTATTATTATTATTATTATTATTATTATCATGGTTCAGACTTCAAGTTCGGCCTTCCTTAACCTTTACTTCTTTATTACACATTTATTAAATTTACACGCTCTCCAAAGTGACTGTTTTGAAAACTCTTCTGGGCCCCGCTGGTTTGGTGGTGGGGGTGGGGGGGGCTCCAGCCTGATCCCCCTGCAGGGAGATGACAGCTTACAGAGGCCTGGCCCAGAGACACTAAACCAGGGGCTGCTCCCCACTCCAGCCCCCCCTTGCTTGCTAGCTCCCCACTTTTGGCCTGCCCCAGTTGGCCTTACCAGCCGAGAAGACGCCAATCAGGAAGGTTGCCCCCCCCCCCCGCACAAAGCTCTGCAAGAAAGAGATGGGGGGGGTCTCAGCGCCCCCTTTGGCAGACGATGGAGCAAAAGGCCTGAGCTGCGGCCTCCGCCCTGATCCCTTTGATCTCCTCCCCCCCTCCCCCACCATCCAGCCCTTCAGTGTCCATTCCTTGGCTTTCCCCCATTGCTGGGCCAGGCCCATCTGTGCCCCTTTCCTGCCAGACTCACCCAGCAGCCGCCTGGTGAGCTGGGCAGCTGCAGTTCCTGGGGGTCCGTCTGGCCCAAGGACGGCTGGGAAAGGCAGAGGGGCTTCTTCCCCTCCCTCCTGCCTCTAGAAAGGGAGGGAGGGAGGGAATGGAGGAAAGAGACGAGCACAAGAAGGTCCTTTATCCTTTTCCATCCCTCCTTCTCCCCCTCCGGAGCCTCTGCTGGCCTCCCAGCGCAAGCAAGCAAGACAGGATGGCAGGCTGCCCGGGGACACGGGACAAGCTCTGATGCCCTGCAATAAAATTCGGATTTCAGACACAGCCAAGTCGACCCAAGTCAACTTGGGAGAGGCTTTTCTCGCGGAGATGCTCCAACGGCCGGAAGAGCTGCAATGCAAAAGACAGGATGGCAACAGGACCTTGGAAAAGCGAGGAATCTTAAAAGCGCTGAAACCTGGGGGTGGGGGGAAATGTTTTTAGGAAAGGATCAGATGGCTCAGGATGTTGGCTGGGGAATTCTGGAGATTGAAGTCCGCACCAAGTTGCCAAGGTGGCAGAAATTCTGCCACCTTGAGACATGGAGGGCGTGGGATGTACGTCCTTTAATGTAGAACATTGCTATATTTTTATATTAGTATTTACTTTCAAAGTTGAGTTTCCGAACTTTGGAACGGAATATTTAATTCCCAAGTTTGGAAATTTGGGGTCGGTACTTTTATCTCTGTGCCTAACTTGTGTTAGGAATAAAATTTTAGAATAAAAAGCAAAGTTAAGTGACACGTACTCTGTAAAATTTCTACACGCAGACAGTAAGATTTCTACACAAAATTTCTACACGTAGACTGCAAGATTTCTACACAATTTCTACATGTACACGTACCTTGGAAGAGTTCTGCACGTAGGCTATAGGATTTCCACACTGAGCTGTAGGATTTCATGATAAAGTACATATAAGGGAATAGGTGAAGCAAAATAGTAAGGGGCAGGGATAATGTATTTTGTTTAGGCGGCTCTGATAAGATTGTAACCTCAGAGGAGGGGCCAAGGCGTCGGGGATAGAATGTATATAATGTGTGTCTTTGTTGTGACTAGGTGTGGCTCAAATATTTATTTGGAGTCCACCACG